GAGAAGAATACGTAATAAGAAGAATAAGTAATTATTTCTATAGTTCTCATTTGTGACCGACCCTCATTTGGGCTCTAAGCAAGAAAAAAGAAACCTTTAATTCGTCGTGTGCTCGGTAGAAAGGTCGTAAGCACTTACGACCTTTTGCCGGGAAGAAATAATCGCCGCCAAAAAAAATTTTCCTGGCAAAAGGACGTGTACATGTAGGCAACTGTTTTATTTTAATGAAATATAAAGATTTCTTTGCAAATAGTTCAAAAAAAAAAGAAAGTTGTTTGATAAATTGTTCAAAGGTTGCTTTTTGCACAGCCTGTGTTATTTTGTAGTAAATTTTATCCGTTTTTACTAAATAAGAGTGTGGTTCTTTTACCGGGAACATTTTTTCTGTGATCATGCAAAGCGGCAAAAGGGCATAAGTGCGCTTACAACCTTTTGCCGGGCACACAACAAATTGTTTTGCTGCAGAGCCTGTAGGGAATTTTCAACCAAAAAAAAGAAAAACATGATAAATAAGATTTTTTTGAGTGGGGGTACAGTACACTATACTGTGCATGTCCTTTCATGCCCTCTTAGCCCCCTCTCTACCCCCCTTGCCCGGTCAAAAAAATTTCAACACCATAGAATTACATGTAACTATGGACGTCCTACTACCCGGCATCTTAACAGGAAGGTCTATGCAGACCAGACTTTCTAATTGGCCATCAATAACTGTTCTTAAAAATCTAATGGAAATGTACGTGCGCGTGAATGCCTTCTCCTGTCTTTTGTTGATCCCATACCAGTAAATTTCCATCTGGGGATTCCATTTCCAAGCAAACCAAAACAAAGAAAGAAAAAAACATTTCAAATTAGCACAAGTTGCATTTTTATTAATGCTTCTTCCTAATACATACGGTACATACATGTACATGGCACACATATTTAAAACAATTATTGGAGTGCAAAAAAACCCCAAATTTTTGCAGGGTGGGAGGGTGGAATTAAAACAAACAAATGAAAAATTATCCCTAACCATGCTGAACCCAACAAGGTTATGCAGGATTTCAATGGTCCCTAGGGGGTTCGGGTAA